ATAAGGAGATGTAAATCCTGGGGATGTGGCATCTCTTACAGAGATCTTATCAGAGATACGGTATCTCTTGTAGAGATAAAGGCTAATATCAGATATGTGTAATATATGAGTAGGGTGAAAATGCTTGTATATATAACATCTCCATGAAGACCTCTGAGATCCCCGATTTCGTGGATCTGTGACACTGCTGCAGTGAAGTCTGTGAGTAACCTGGACTAGAACCAAAATCTCTAATAAAACAATACAACAATATCTTTTCTTTTTCCAGTCTCGTGCATAGTCTTTCGACATTTTTGTTTTTCGACATTTTATTTTCGGTATTTTTGTTTTTCGACATTTCTATTTTCGATATTTTTATTTTCGACATTTTACCTTCGACATTTTTACTTTCGACATTTTCACTTTCGATCAAATTCAGGTTTACCGGTGAAAGATCCATACTAGGCATTCAAGATAATTTAATAGCACATGTAATATTATACTAAAACAAAGACAAAAATCAAATCCATTACATCCAGAAAATAAATCAAATTCATGGTCACAAAAAACTAATTTGTAAATAGAATAAGATAGTGCTTTGTTTTGTGGATTGTTCCAATCATAATAAGTTGACTTATGAACAGAAAGCCAATTCGCTATTCTTTACTTTACTAAAATGACTGTAATATAGTTACTACGTCTATTCTGTTTGTATTTGCTTTCATTCGATACATCGTTAATCTGTATTATCAATACTTATTCATGTCTCTATCGGTTATTTTACAATAAAAGAATGTCACGAAATGTGTTGAAATTTAAGGATCGAAAAGAAAATTGGATTGGATTTTCATTTGCACGAGAATTGGAAATAACTCATTTCCTTTTTTCGAAATATATCTGACATTTAAAACTTTTACATCTAATAATGATTCGAACATTTTCGTGTGTATAGTCTCTTATATATATAAATAATAAATGGGGTAGAATATGAACTCTTGACAATCTAGTAAAATGCTCCTACATAATGTTATCATGTAATTACATGACGCTAACCTTTATATTTCTATTAGACGATTAAAGTGTAATGAAAATATACTGGTTGAGAAAAAAATCGGTTTACTTTGAATCATAGTAAAATAATCTACTCAAGCATTAGATTTTCTCGGAAAAAAAATGGAAATTTCAACCGCTGCCGCGACGCACTGCGACGGTAAAAAAAGAAAACTAGCCGCTGCCGCGACGCACCGCGACGGTAAAAATGAAAACTTGCCGCTGCCGCTCCGTGCCGCGACGATAAAGAAACAAAACTTGCCGCTACCGCACCGCTGCCACCATGGTGGAAGCGGTGCGGCAACGGTAGCACCACCATGGACATCTCTGGCCTATATAGACCATTTGCATTGACTAGAACCTCTACGATCCACTCATACATTAGTCCATTCTTTCGTTGATAATACATATTTCTTTGTCGTGACCGATGTATAAAATGCGAGGGAATAGATGAACAAAAATTAGTTGAAAGATAGCATAACATTTTTCGTTCCAGTATTATCGTTAATAAAACATAAACAAAAAGACCTAATAAATAGTAGATTTCAAATTATTGATTGGATTTATTTGGATAGTGTTTTGAATAGAAAATGTTTAAAAGAACACAATTTTTCCTTAAACATGACATAAATGAAGTGAACAGATTCATTGAAGAACAAGATAATGCATTTGGTTATGGGTTTACTACAATATTATCCGATAGTCAATCACCTACACCATGTCATGGAGTAAGTTTAAGAATATGTCAATCTTCTTTCATATTATTATGAATAAAGATTAACAAAGATACAAAGATTATAAAATGAAAAGAAATTCATAGATGTAGATTAGATTTAAAAATTTGATAATAGATTGAATAGAGAATATTTGAAAAATTTTTAATATCTAAAAGGGATGTGAATAGAACAATTGTTAAAAACTAAAAGTTAACTTTTATTCATGGTGATAATGATCTATCATTCTCGTCAAAAACTTCTTTGAAAAAATCATATCATAATAATCGATACTAATAATAGATATACATGATAGAAAAAAATAATCATCTCACCAAACGATAGACCATAAGTAGTTAAATATGTTGAATATACAGATGATGTCAAAAGTTCATTGATCATAGTAAACAACAAGTATGTTAGACATTTACTAAAGCACTGAATGTTAAATAAGAGGCAAATAATTAAATATTAATAATAATTTTTTTCTCTTTTCTTTTGAGTGTCTTGAATTAATGGATTCACGTTCGACATGTATATATATCAAACGAGCCGATTGTAATAGTATTTGGCATCCACAATGTTTTATATGTACAAAATGTAAACAATTTCTTGTTAATTTAATATATTTTTATAAAAATGGTCAACTTTATTGTGAACAACATCATGCTAAATTATATAAACGACGATATACAGGAGGCGATCTAGTATGTATTTTGTTGAAGAAAAAAATTTCATACTTCATCCATCTTGTGGTTAGCAATATATCCAACTCATGAGTTAGCTCATTCGAAACATTATATCATAATCTAACAATATTCAAACTGATTTAGTGATAAGGAAGAACGTCTTTCATTTCATACTGTAATAAAAACATGACTATAATATGGGAATTACTAGTAATAAAGATCGAAATATTGAGATCTTAGGACAGATATTATTCTTCATCTGATATTCTTTGATAACTACACAACTTTGTAAATAATTCTAATAAAGCGAATGAATAATTAAGCTTTGTCAAACTTATTTATGGTGATATATTTGTAAATGATTGAGTAAGAAAAAACTAATTTTTATTTCTTATTTATCTATTTAGATTATATTTATTTTTACATGTAATGAATATAAAGATCGTGGTTCGGATATGTATCGATTTTGTTGTTCATTTTGTAAACAATATTTAGCTGGTGAACGTTATATTGAGCGACGAGGCCAATTATTTTGTTTAGATTGTTTCGAAACAACGTATGCAGAATATTGTGATATATGTTGTGAACCCATTGGGCCCTCTCAAGCTCGAATAACTTATGAATCACATCAGTGGCATGCAACAGAAACATGTTTTTATTGTTATGTCTGTCTTATTCCTTTAAATAATAGTGATTTTTTACAAGATTATGGTATATTATTTTGTTCAAATGAATGTGCATCACAAATAAGTAATCATTCAATAAGTACAAAATTGATTCAACAAAATAACCTTCATTCAAATGGAATGTTGTCTTTAATATCATGTACAAAATCAATAATAACATCACAATTTCCACGTTCAAGTTCATTAAATGGTTCATCAAGATTTACAAAACAATATCGTGTACATTTTGTTGGTAATGAAAAAGAAAAAAACTCAAAATATTCACCAACAATGAGTTATAAATCAAAATTCTTATGTCGATCATTATCATCGTCATCATCAACTATTCATGATGATAATCAAGAAGATATTAATTCAATATTTGATCAATTTGATATGTGTGGAATTCATTTACGAAAATCAATAAATTGTAGAACAGAAATAAGTTATGTTGATGAAACAAGTACAATAAATACAAAATTAATGAAAAAAACAACAACATTAAATAAAAAACAGAAAAACTCTAATGAAAAACGAGGAAAAACAAATTACATTGTTAGTTCATTTTTTTTCTGTATATATTCTAAATCTCTTCATTAAGATACCGTTCACGTATTCTTTGTTTAAAATATGTTTGTGGATTTAAAAAAAGTTTTTCTTTGTTATTTTTTTCTTGCGCACTTCTTTTTTGGGAAATATCTCTTTTTTTTATTTGTGTGCGTATTTTGATACAATAAATTATTAAAATATTAGCATTGAAATAATATTTAAGATGTAGATAATTCAAAAATCGAATAAAAGTTTCTTCTTTGATTTTTTTGCATAGATCGAGAATTGAAAATAATCTCCAGTAAAAGCAATGATAAATTCATCTGATTCCTTTTTCAAGATATTAGATAAGGTCTTATAACCAATAGGTGAAAGCGTAGAACACGTAGGATATCCTGGAGCTGAATTCGAGTATTCTGTAACTGGATTCGTCTGTAGGTTATACCAAACTGTAAAAAGGCTATACCAACATAGATCTCGACAAGTTCTATCGATTCCACTATTTACTTATTTTCCAACGCTCCTCCTTCATGGAAAAAACCCAAAATACTGACAAAAATAAGCAAAACAACACGCATTTCCCATAAAGCGCACCGTGATTCGCCTATAGGGTATACCAAAAACTGAAAATGATATACCAAGATAGAACTCGTCGAGCTCTATCGAATGGACACCTTTTCGGCTCGATTCGACCTGTGTATCCCCTCCGCAAGGGCAAATCCTGGCCTGAAGGGTGTGAGTGTGGGTATTATATTAAGCCATACCTACACCCACCCACACCCAAACACCCCACACTCACACACCCACAAAAAAATATTTTTGAACATTATAGGTGGATATTGGTTTTGTGCGTAGGCTATAGAATGTCACAAATGATATGTTATAAAGATTATAGTAGATATCTCAAATATAACAGTTATGCCATTCAGCACGAATAGATGCACTGACATGACAAGTTTGTAATATCAAAGTGTATGCGTACAATTTTAAAAAATACATTAGTTCGTGACTCTTTTAAAACGATGTTTGGAAATTAGGAACAGAATAAAAATTTGTATAATATAATGTTTAATTGAACTAATAAATAAAACAAACTTTCTAGGATTTTTTTATTATTTTTTTTTGAAGTATTTCTCACCGCATATGCTCACTACATATGCCAATCAAATGTCGCATTTTTTTCTTACAATTAATTTCATTTTTCAAATATTTCTAACGATTTATAAAATGCGCAATCGTTATTGATTAATTAATGCAAAAGATGCGCGAACAGTATCAGCATTTAAAAATTGAATTTTTCATGAAATTGAGTGTTTTTAATTCTGCAATCATCAAACTGTTAAAAATAAAACAATTTGTTTGATCTTGTATTCAATTCATGTGAGTTATATGATTATTTATTTTCCTTAGATTCATGATCACATTTCCTACATGAATAGTTCTCTGATTTGATTAAAAAAACTATAAATGTTCGAGCTACACCTTAATTACCAAATATGGTTATTATCAATGTTAGGACAGCTTTTCACTAGCAATTCTTCGTTTTTTTGGATAAAGAAAAGACTGAATAAAAACCTTTGTTAACATTAGGATAATTTTTTGCTTGAATATCCTAATGTTAGATATGAAAAATGAACCTCTAACGTGGAGTCTTAATTTTTATCTAAAAAACTTTGAATAAAATCAAGATAACTTTTTGTTGAAAGAATAGCATATATGTTGCCTATCTCTTCATAGGTTTTCTGTAGTGATCATGAATCGAAGAAGAAAATAATCATATGCTTATTTATAAAATATATCGATTTTAAAAATATCATCTCAAAAATAAAGAAAAAAATACATTTACAAATATTTGTTTACTTTATAACTTAAACGAAAAAATACCTGAAGTAAGACTAAGCATCATTAGGCTTAGAATCTCCTCGAATTAAGATATTCTTATACAGAGCCAGAATCTATGAATTTTAACGCAAGCCGTTTGAAAAAATATTATTCCATTCTCGAGATATTAAAAATTTATCAAAGAGCACTATCGTCAAAACAAAAGCACTTTTTGTGATTTTTTTATGAAATTCATATCTCACTAAAACAACATCCGTTTGACTTGAAATTTTTACTGTGCATATAGATTAAGTTAATGTATCTATCATAAAAAGATGAGTTCAAATGAGTAAGCTATTTATGAGTTGACATATTAAATAATATAGAGATATTTTATAAACCCAAAATATACCTTCAACCTTGTGATCAAAATTTCTATAGCTTATGAGCGAGTTATGAGCTCTTGCTTTGCAACTAAGTACTACTGTCTACGAGCCATTAGCAACGATTATCAGAACTTTGATGTTTTGACTTTGACCTGAACAAGAACTTGATTCGATATATATATATATATTGATATTTTTATTCTCTGAAAATGTATCTTTCAAGAACGAAGATTTTTTTTATTCGTTCTTATGTTCAACGAAGATAATAATGTGCTACATATCAGACTCTATTGATTGAGCAATCAGTAAACAAAGTAAACTGAACTAGAGATAGAGAAACAAATGAATAGATTCTGAAAATTATTTTCTATAAAAGATAATCGGTTTTTTTCTATTGCTTTAGCATTTTTTTCTATTTTGCAAACGTAACTGTGCTAGATACATTCTCAAGATTTCTTCTCTATACAATATATTATAAATAGTATGATTATATAGTATAAATCATATGAGATGCCAATAATATGTTTTCTTATAATGTGATAAGTTTTCATACTTGAAAACTTTTCTAACCGGAATGATGTATAAGTATTCAATTATACTATTCAATTGTACAAGTATTATTTAATGAAACATCCATTCTTTTATCATTAAAATGCCTCAGCACAAAAAAAAACAAATAAGGCTATTCATAACTAAAATGACATTACAAGAATTGTTGAGAATATCGCGTTATTTCTTCAATCATTGTTGTTATCTTTTTACGGGCAGTTGTGGTGGAATATGGACAAAGAACGATTTTCATGTTCTAGCGACCCCTGGATAATCCGTTCATCTATTGGATATAAAGTTTAACCCATAACGCTGCCATCCGACAAAGTTTTCAATCATTATGTATATAAAAGATTCTATATCTAGTTTTGAGTATTTTTCTTTTTTCAGTATCTTTCGTTGGGAAAATTACTTGTTTTTTTTTCTTGGAACAATTGAATTCAGAAGCAAAATAAAGTATAGAGTAGCATATTTATGTTTCGTAACTGAACAGCTAATCATTTGAATATCGAAGGCTTGTATGCAGTTAGGATATCAAATTTGGTCATTCATGATCAGTTCTTGTTCAAAATTAAACTAAAATTCTTTAAGAAAACTACTTCTTATTCAATGGGTTGTTGATGTTTCTACTTTAGTTTATAGAATTATAACTTATATATATATATCAGAGTTTTTAATAGAAATCTGAAATAAATTTTATGTAGGTATTTCGTTTCACTGGATAAAATATCCATTGATACTTTGCTATTTAGAACAAAGTACCTGAAAGTATCTCAAAGTACCACAGTTATGAACTGATTTAAGAAAAACAAAAACAAAGTTCTTACTAATCGATCTTTTTATAAAAAATATATTCCTATATGAAAAAAAAACAATGTACGAAAATAAGTAATATATAATAACAAAAATGAAAACACATTCATCTGATCAACTTTAGAAAAAACTTCTCTGATTTATCTTTTTTATAATCATATAAACAGGGTGTCTCAAAAGTCGCACGGGAAAGTACATTCTTATAACTTCTGTGTTTGTCAAAACAAATCAATTATTTTTTTTTTCGCATGATAAACATCATCTAGAAGTTTTATTCATACAGACGAACTTTACAAAAAACATAAAAGATATCACTTTTGACTGAAATAGAGAAAATGTGTTTTTTCCAAATTTTACTGAAAAAGTGTGTATCGATGATTTTTTCGATCACTTCGATTTTTGTAATATCTTACACTTTGAATTGTTTAGGCTTCTTTTATCATTATTTTTTAGATATTCTCATAAAAAGAAATTCAATATTGAAGCTCACTAATATACCACAAAAAACATGTTAACAAAACCACCGTTAAACAGTTGAAAGCTTAAGATATTGCAAAAATTAAAATGATCGAAAAAACCATCGATACATACTTTTTTTCAGTAAAATTTGGAAAAAACATATTTTCTCTATTTCAGTGAAAAGTGATATTTTTTTATGTTTTTTTTGTAAAGTTGGTCCACATGAATAAAAACTTCTAGGTGATGCCTATCATACGTTAAAAGAAAAGTATCGATTTGTATTGACAAATAAAGAAGTTATAAGAATGTACTTTTCCGCGCGACTTTTGGAACATCCTGTACATACGATAATAGTAAAAGATGAATCAGAAAAGTGTTTTCTAAAGTTGATCAGATGAATGTATTTTCCTTTTTGTTAGCAAATATTACTCATTTTCATACATTGTTTTTTTTTCATATAGGAATATATTTTTCATTAAAAGATCGATTAGTAAGCACTTTGTTTTTGTTTTTCTTAAATCAGTTCATAACTGTGATACTTTAAGATACTTTCAGGTACTTTGTTCTATATAGCAAAGTACCAATGGATATTTTGTCAAGTGAGACGAAGTACCTACATATAATTTGTTTCAGATTTCTATTAAAAAACTCTGACTCGAAGTACCCATCTGAGAAAATTAGATTTTCATATTCAACTTTTCAAACTCTTTCTAATGATGTATAGTTTATTCGGTCCGTACGGAATTAAAAAATTTTTTGATCGATTCATATGTAAATAATTTATTCTTTTTTTTCTAAAGTCTGTATAAGTCTTCGTATAGTTTGTAAAAAAAATTGTGTTTTTCTACAAAGTACCTTATCCTTTTTATCAATCTCTTCATTTTTTTAATTGTTTTCTATACCTACAGAAATTCATGACTAGTTTTAAACTTTTATATTAAATAAATGATTTCAATAGCAAAACATTTCTACTATCTCAAAAACTGACTCATATTCTAAATCTTCAAAAATAAACATATTATT